GTTAGTATCTGGGATGCTGCATGCTGCTCCTAGACTCACCGCCTCACATCGTAGCAGTATCTGAGCTCTCTGGCCCAGCAGCTTCTCCTGTCTGCCCTGTCCAGCTCACTGGCTGGTTTCTGTAGCCTCACGTAGTTACTACCTCCAAGCTTCTCTCTCAGGACATTGAAAAAAGAAATAGTGTACGATACAAACAAGTGAAAGAGTATACCATATTCATGGATTGAAAAAATTAACACCATGAAAATGTCCGTACTACCCATAGCAATCTATAGATTCAATGCAATGCCTATTAAAATACCAATGGCATATTTCACAGATCTAGAACAAATACTCCAAAATTTTATATAGAACCAAAAAGACTCTGAATAGCCACAGCAATCTTGAGAAAGAAGAACAAAGTAGGAGGGCTCATAGTACCAGATATCAAATTATACTATAAAGCTATTGTAATCAAACAGCCTAATACTGGCATGGTCACACTAGTTTTGAAAGGCAACATGGAAAGGTTGAAAATTTTGAACAGATTAGTAACAAAATCAGATTTTCATTTTGGTTCACTCTGCTTCCTGGAGAACAAATTGTAAGTAAAGACTTCAAGGAAGAAGACCATTTAGTAATGTAGTGCAGTAGCCTCAAAGGGATAAGGTGATATAATAATTGGATCAGCATTTTGACCAATGGAGAGATATGAATAGAGGTGGTAAGTGGGAGAAAGAGAGGCTACATTTAAAGAGGTTGGGGGGCAGGAAAAGTAAGTAAGCTACATGCAGAATCAGCAGGGTAGGGGAAGGAGACATGATTTAGCCTAGATTCAGGTCTAGAGGACTATAGACTAGATCAAAATGTGGTCTAGACTCATTACTAGAGTCTAGAGCAAGCATGCCAAACTCAAAGGCTAACAAGGGGCCAAATAAACAAGGTTTAAGTTTATGTGGGCCACAAAAAGACAAAGCTTCGATTTTCATAGGAATGTAGGTTTATTTCAATAGAGACATGCTGAATACAAAGGGCTGAAACAAATGATTAATCATTAACATAAAATAAGAGAACATAATAATAAAAATTAATATTTTTTCTTGAACATTAACTTATCAGACACTGAATAACTGCAAAAATTAATAAGCATAATCCAAATAAACCTATTTTTCTTGTTCTCCAAAAGCGAAATATTTCCTGTTATACACACCAAACAAGTCAGTACAAGACTAATGACATGGCAATTGGCTGCTAAAATATTTGCTGCTAGTATTAGTGGAGAGAAATGAGGTGCCTGTGCATAAGGTGCATAAGAGAAATAAATGCAACACGATTATAGTCATCAGTCATTAGTGAACTTGTAGTTCATTATTAATAATCCTATATAATAAAAGCTCAGTGACTGAATGGCGGAATGACCAGAGCGATCCATTGACCAGTTGCTATGATATGCTCGGACCACCAGGAGGCAGACACGCACCGGAGCTGCCCCTGGTGGTCAATGCACTTCCTCAGAGGGTGGGTCCACAGCCGCTTGGCTGACCAAGATGAGCGGCACTCCCATAGTGAGAGCAGCCGCTCAGAGGTGGGTACACAGCCATGCGACTGACCGGGATGAGCAGTGCTCCCACAGCAGAAGCAGCCGCTTGGCTAACCAGGATGAGTGGTGCTCCCACAGTGGGCCGATCCGCGCAGGCCATGCCTCCCACCAGTGCACAAATCTTGTGCACCGGGCCTGTAGTCTATATATATAAAAGGCTAAGTGACCGACCATACATCTGTCCAACCGTCTGACTGACTGGCCAGTACATATGATGAACACTGGCAATTTAAAATAAACATTGACTTGCACATGTGTGATACATATAAAGCTCTCGCTGGCACCAATTGCACACATGTTTTAACTTTATAATACTATATTATATATACTATTTTGATATGTAATTTTTTAAAATATTTTATTGATTTTTTACAGAGAGGAAGGGAGAGAGATAGAGAGTTAGAAACATCGATGAGAGAGAAACATCGATCAGCTGCCTCCTGCACATCTCCCACCGGGGATATGCCCGCAACCCAGGTACATGCCCTTGACCGGAATCGAACCTGGGACTTTTCAGTCCGCAGGCCGACGCTCTATCCACTGAGCCAAACCGGTTTCGGCTTGATATGTAATTTTTTGCAGTAACGTAATTACTGCATGAATCTTTCTTCTAATTAATTTCCTTTCAATGTGCACGAATCTGTGCACCAGGCTACTAGTTATGTATAACAGGATATTGTAAAAATTAAGTTATGAAATTTTTATTAAAACATTTCTTACCTACCGTTATATTGGCTGGACCACAAAAATATTTGTTGTGGGCCACATGAGGCCCGAGGGCCGCAAGTTTGACATGCTGGGTCTAGAGAGACTAGACAAGATGAGGCCATTATTTTTAAATGCTTTAAACTCTTTCCTATACGATCTTCGTTCTCATGTGACAAAACTGAACGAACTTCCTCCCCTTTTCCGGAATCTACTGACAAGGCAAACCACAGAGACTTCAGCTTCCTGTTCTTTGTTGCATGGTTGACTATCTGCAATTGAAATTTCAGTGTGCTTAAGCTAGCTCAAAAAACCACTTCCTTCTTAGATGACTAATCCTTTTCCAAGCTTGTGGTTTACTTAACCACACAGGAAATCATAATTTGAGTATTTTTTCGTCATTTCTCCCTATAAAAGCTGAGACCAATCTGAAGTTCTTCAGATTGGGTGAGCTCCCTACAGCAAGAGTCTCAATAATATTAGTCTCCTAACTTAACTTGTCTGTTTTTTGTCTTTGACAGTTTGGTGCCTTGACTTGCCTTCAGATTCTAGTCTGCTCCTGCCAGGTCAACAGGCCACTTGGAGCCTTCTGTGCTCCATTCCTGACAGGCAACCCAGGGATCTAAAGGCAAATTCTGACCCTGGTCCTATGTTCCAGCCTCTTGTCTGTTGGTAGAATGGTAAGAATTTGATTTTGACTTTTTGGGAATACTTAGGTAATTTTTGGTACTGGATTTGTTTTGTTTTTTTATTTTATAGTCTGATCATTTGGCAATCTCTATAAAGAATTAAGTGGTTCACAGGTATCTTATCTCTATTGGGCAAAACATGTCAAAAAATCAAGTTTGTTACTTTTTTCTCTTATTTATTTTTCCCTATTTTGGACTCAAATCAATTAAGAATGTGTATCCACTGGGAAGGCAAGAACTCTTTTTATATGAAAAGTGAATTTTTTATTTCTGGATTTATGCCTGAAACTTTAGCATTGAAGCTATAAGTTCTCTATGCTTGGATGTATATGTATGAGTCTTGGGTATGTACTATTTTCCTAGTTTTAGGAATTAGATTAGGTTATAATTTTTAATTGGATTTATTGGGGTTACGTTACTTAATAGAATTATATAGCCTTACGTGGTACAATTCTATAATACATCATCTGTTACTGTATTGTGTGTTCACAACCACAGGTCATGTCTCTTTCCATCACCATTTATTACCCACTTTACTCTCTCCTATATCCCCTCACCCCCATTTCCCTCTGGTAATGATCGTTGTCTATCTATGAATTTTGTTTTTGTGTTTTATCTTAATCCCTTCACCTTTATCACCCAGTCCCCCTCCCCCTCTCTTCTGACAGCTGTCAGTCTGTTCTCTGTATTTATGAGTCTGTTTCTGTTTTGTTTGTCAGTTTATTTTATTCATTAGATTCCACATATAAATGAAATCATATGGCGTTTGTCTTTCTTTGACTAGCTATTTCACTTAGCATCATACTCTCAAGTCCATCCACGCTGTTGCCAAGGGTAAGATTTCCTTCTTTTTATGGCTGTATAGTATTCCATTGTGTAAGTGTATAAAAAAAATTTATAGAGCACTGTTTTGGTTAACTAAATAAGGCCTTATACAAATGGCATATTCCCCAAAATTCCCAGATAGTAACAAAATTAAATTTCTAATACTTTTAATGTGTTAAAAATATACTTATAGGCACAACTTAAAGGTTCTAAAAATTAAAGTTTACATAATAGAAGTCAACTTTGGCAAATGAGACTAATTTAATATTATCCTATATAATAAAAGGCTAATAATCGACCAAATGGCAAAATGACCAGTTGCTGTGGAGCGCACTGACCATCAGGGAGCAGAGACTCAACACAGGAGCTGCCCCCTGGTGGTTAGTGCGCTCCCACAGGGGGAGCACCACTCAGCCAGAAGCTGGGCTCACAGCTGGTGAGCGCAGCGGCGGTGGCAGGAGCCTCTCCCGCCTCTGTGGCAGCACTAAGGATGGCTGATTAAAGCGGGCCTAAGCCATCAGTTGGACAGCCCCCGAGGGCTCCCAGACTGCGAGAGGGTGCAGGCCAGGCTGAGGGGACCCTCGAGTGCATGAATTTCGTGCACCTGGCCTCTAATTGGTTTAACTGATAAAACAGCTATAGCTTCTGAGTTATCATCATTAGGTATAATACAAACATATGTAGAGTGTCCCCCAAAATGTATACGCACTTTGAATAATTACTAATTCCAATGTTTCTTTATTTTCAGTTCTAACCCATTGGAATGAATAATTATTATTTATTAATTGATAATTATCAATAAACATCAATCAGTAGTATTAACAATTAATAATAAATAATTATTAATAAATATCAACCAATAATAAATCAATTAATAATTATTAAAAGCGTGTAAACATTTTTTGGAACACCCTGTATTTTTATTCTTCCCCAACTTATAAAGGTTTGCTGATTTAATAAGCTCTCCTTTTAGGTATTATATTTTAACATTATAAAAAAATGTAAATTTGTATTTTGTCAAATTAATTCATTATTCTGATAAATTTTACTGAAAATATAATTATGTTTTATAGTATATCAGCTTGAAGATAGTTTCAAAAATACTTTAATAACTTAAAACTTTGGACTGATGCTAAACTGAGTCAATTAATTCATCAGATAGCCAGAACGTATCTAAATAAGATAAAATACTGAAGCATTAATTACAAAATATCATTTTATTTTTTTCATACTTTTTGCTCTGACTTTTATGTAATATAGAGAGGCTATATATTTGGGTCTGTTAAGGCACATGTTTATTTTTGCCACATTAAGAAGTTATTTATAGCTATAGAAAGTTATGAGACGTATATTTATAAGCTCTGCTAGTCTACTAGAAAATACTGATGTATGAAGGTAGTTTACAATTATCTACAGAGATTCCCTCCTTGACCAAACTTCAGTCAGGCTCTTAGGAGTCCTCTTGTAGATTAGGCTACTACACCCAGTTTTAGCAAAGAATCTTAAGAAGCACCCCCTGGCCCCCCAATATCTGATGAAACCCCTTATCACATCCCCTGCCTTGAATGTCTAAGACCTTGGCCTGTAAAAATTCTGTTACGCCAGTTTAGTAAGAATCCCCCTGCCCCTGATATCTAATCAGGTTCCTCTTAGTAATTTTCTATCTACTGACTCCTCACTCTGTCCCTTGGCTCTGCATGCCCAGCTATCTTTGCCGAATTGGAAATTGAGCTCAGTTCTTCACTGAAGTCTCCTTTCCTTAGTGCAGTCACTCTAATAAGATCTGTTTTGTTATTTCAACGGTAACCAGTGCATAACTTTTTCTTGCACTGCCTCCTGGCTTTCTCTGTGCAATTGAAGTGACTGTAGTTATAAAATTATTATGAACATATGTGACTTAGACTCTAATAGGAGCAGTAGTCGCAGAGAGAGAAAACTTCACATGCCAAGAGGGCAGACTATCTTTTGTTAAAGACTATGACAATAATTTTATTCTGAAGTAAAATGACTAGGCGTTCTGGATGAGAGAGAGAACATTGTATAAAAACAACAACACATGCCTAGATGAAGAAAGTTGTAGGTGATTCATGGGAAGGAAATTTGATTTCTTATAGTCAAACTTGTGTTAGGTTTGGTGAGTTTATTTATAAGATTTTCAATAAGAACTTTAGTTTAAAAACTAAAATTGGATTTTCTCTCTTAAAATGACAAATTTTTTCTTGGATTATTTTTCTTTACATTTTGAGTAATCTACCTAGAAGACAACTATTAAGGGTCTTATCAGAGTACTTTCCTACATTTTGTGTTGACTTTATCACATCCTTGATAATTTATGAGAACAAGGTTTTTCACTTAAAAGTTCTTCATAATCATGGTATGGCCTATGCCTACTTTAAAAAATTTGTATTATTATTAGTTGGGTTAAATAGATAACTAAATAGAGTTTCTCCGCACTCCATGATCCTACTGAGTCAAGTGTTCAAACTTCTTGACAACTTTTTATGCTTTACCTTCCAAAAATCAAATCCTAAATGATATCTTCTGTGTTGTCAAGGAAAACAATGTAAATCTACACTTGAGTAAAGAAAGACATTATTAAGGAAGAGTTTTGCAACAAGGAGATGCTCAAAGCCTAAGCCAGAGAAGATTCAGGCAAGATGTGTGCAAGCCACGCTTTTATAGGCAGAGGCCTGCGGTAGATTGATAGGTGCCCATGGAAAGTGGAAGAGAGATGCAATGCTGAAGCTGATGTGTGGGAGGAGCCCTTAGACTTGAACTGTATCACATAATGTACTAAGAGAAAAGTTGAGGCAGCAAAGTTGGTGTGTGATTAAGCTCATGGGGTTGGGATTCTGCATCTGACATGGAGCAAACAAGCTCAAGTGCAGGAAGTTCACATGGGGTTGAGGGCCTAGTGGTCCTCAGCAAAGCCACCTATAGATGTGTAATCAGCTTTGTCAGTCCCTCTTCTTGTTCAAGGCAGGCTCAGGCAGGCTCAGAGAGACTGTCCTTGAACAAAACAGGGATAAGAAATATTTCAAACATGGGATGGCTGAGTGGAACGGTCCTCAGAGTCAGCATTTTCTCAGTGATGTCCCTAGAGGACTGGTGCAAATGTTTGGTTTGTGTGTTGGCAAAGACCAGTCATTTCAGTGTCCATTAGGTCAGGCATCTTAAGAGTGGGATTCCTAAAATAAAAAAGAGAAATGTTAACACAAAGGGAAGGAATAAAGAGCCAGAAGTTGAACTAATGAATTTCAAGAGCTCAGTGAATGAAACCATTTAATTACGAAGCACAGCTTTGTACATCATATTATAATGTTGTCCTGCATCTAAATTACTATTCTGATGTGGGTAAACATGACCTGAACATTTCTCCAGAATTCCATAGTGTCCCAGACAGCAGCTTTTCAAGGGAGAAATCGGCCCATGCATGGTCTACTGCAGTGATGAGTCCCAGGTTTATAACAAGCGGCCAGGCTTTAGCCTGTAGTGTTTTCTTAAATCCTGGAGGAAAAGGCCTGCTACAAAGCAATCTAGACTCCCAATAAGGATCTGGGAAGTCAGGGTTTAGATCTCAGTGACTTAAAGTCAAGAGGAAGGGAGAAAAGGTAGATTAATTTGGAAGGTTGTAGCTAGATATTGAAGGAAATAGAATGATTTGCTAAGTTGACTAAGTGTACGATGTAAATAGATCCAAATCAAACCATAAATAGGTATCAAAACTAGTTTATCCACAGTGGAGAGGAAGCCAATCAAGTATCTACCAGAGAAGACAGAGTTTGTATATTAATCTGTTACCTGAAATTTACAGGAAGGTGCAACATAGCTCAAAGACAATGACTAGGATCAGAATCTGAACATCCAGAAGAGCCAGCTATAGTTTTTTATTGAAACAAAATTTCTCTCTACAGTCTCTCTTACCATTCTGATCAAATACAATCTCAAAGAAAAGTTATTCTTGATCACAAAATAAGGCTGGTCTCATTACAGTGGCCTGGTTATTTGCATAGATGCACCAAGAATGACAATTTACCACATAGGTTTTAGATTTGCTTTGCTGAGAGTTTTCATAAAGAATCTCAGATTGGACTTTTCAAAGCCTCTTGAGGGTAGGAAGCCAAGCCAAGAATTCACCCCCACTTTTCACCTGCAGCACCCAGTGATTTGATGGGCATTCCTCTCTTCCTGAGGTCCCCCAAAGCAGCCTAAGATTCCTGAGCCCACCAGGAAGTGACCTTCCTCACTCACCTGTAAGGCTGGGAACCCTATGAAGCCAGTTACCAGGCCAGTCTTCCCGAGAGAGACTCGGTAAGCATGAGCCCCCACCAAGTCAACCTTAGTGCCTAGAAGCATTTGGTCATAGCTGGTTAAATGAGCATCATTCTCAAATACGACATTATAGGCAAAAGCTCGGTTGCATAACCAATGTTCCCAATTATGGTCCACTTGTTAAAAAGGTGGAAGGACTCTTATTGAATCTATGCAGATAACTGTATTGCCATGAAAATAAGAGTACTCAATAAGAGTTTCAGAATTGTGGAAAGGTGAGTCAGGGTGGAGCAGATAAATGTTTCATTGCTATTTACAAGAGCACAGTCTACTAAATTGTTATGAGTGATAGATAGCTTAATAGAAAGTGGTCCTTATACCCAGAGAATAGAACATTAGAGCATCAGCACTATTCCAAACAAAGCCCATATCCATCCATCAGCAGTTCATTCAGTCCTGTGCCATCAAACCTGCCTCACTTGAACTTGGATTAGCAGTCTCATAAATCCATCTTCTTCTCAACTAAGGTTCTGGAAATCCTGACTGAGTCCACCAATAACCAAAGTTATTTAAGCAATGCCATCAGGAGCCTGTGTGCAAGAGTAGCTGGCATAGTTCTTCCCCATGGGTCTCTGAGACTGTCCTTTTTGACTGAAGACAAAGAACTCGGGCAGGTAGCTAATCTGTATGCTTTGTAAAGCATCGGAGTAAAACACAAAACTATCTGTATTTGATAAAAGACTTAAAATGCTCATGCTTAATATTTTCAATAGTTTGCAAAAGGGAATAGGTGACGAGAGTTCACTATAAAAATAATACAATTGACAAGAAAATTTTCCTATGTGACACTTAAGTTAGTCCAAAAATTTATTAAAAATGTGCATAAACATGATGATTTATTTCATTTTCAAAGAATAGTGGATATTACATCCAATTTATGAATATGGAGGAACATTCGTTAAAAGTCAAATGTAATAATCCTGAAACATAATATACTACACATTTAGCAAGCATATAGTTAGAATAAAGCAGTACTATATCTAGGTTATAAAACAAAGAGGTTCAGTAAAGCTGTATAAGTTTAAGAAAAACATATCTGATTAGAATAAAAATGCATTTTTGCAAGACTGATAACTCAGAAGACCTAGGTGTATTTATTAAACCAACAACATCAAACTCGTCTCATTTGCCAAAGATGTACTCATATCATGTGAGCTTGAATGTTTAAAACATTTTGGGAAGTTTATGTAAGAGTACCCCCCACACATTGTGTATATTAGAAATTTAATTTTCTTAGCTTCTGAGAATTTCAGGAATATTAAAAATTGTAGCCTCTTATTTATCTCTTGGCAGATAAAACAGGAGTTTCTAAAAATAATTTTATAATTTAATGTGGTAATGCAATTTGTAATTAGGAAAATATTACACATGCATTCTACACACATACATATATATATATACACACTTACATGCACACACATATAGAAGAACACAGACAAGTAACTTATAGCTTTAGTTTTTAATTTTAAAAATTTAGCCATGGTTTAGGCATAAACCCCAAAATACAAAACTCACTGGCTCATGTAAAAGAGCTGACTTGCATTGTTGCCTCACTTTTACATTTGGGGTGTTTTTTTGTTGTTGTATTTTTTTTTTACATTTTTACAACAATTATATTCCTGGCAGATGGGGAAAATGGAAGTAACTAGCTCAATATGATGGCTAAAGAATCTTTACTAGAGTTTGTGGAGCAGACCTTGAAGATGTCCTTTGCCATGATGTGCAATCCTATGGAGACTGTGGACTAATTTTCGGGAGAGGGATGGAGGAGAGACCACGCAGCCATCTGGGGGCTCTAAAGTCCATTTGAGTGGAAAAATTACCCAGCCTGTTTCCTATTAGAGTTTTCAGGCTGTTGCTCTTCATGTCTCTGAGCTCCACCGGAGCCAGCAGTGTTAGAGGGACTTAAGTCTCCAATGACTATAGGGAGGTTGAAGGGCTGGAGTGAGAAAAGAAAGGTCTGACAAGGGAGGGCAGAGTAGGGGGGATGTAGAGGTGGTGAAGGGGGAGACCAAAGGGTTCAAGTGAGATTAAGGGTGGGAAGGAGAAAGGAGAAGTTGGGAGGATGAGTGATGAGAAGAGACAGGTCTTAAAAGTTGTTGAGGAAGGAGGATATTCTTTAAGAGAAACAATCGTCTCTGAAACATTTTTGTGGGAGAGACATTTTTCTGTTTCTTTCTACCAAACAATAAAAGCAGTTCACTGTTGGGTGAGATATTGGAATCAGTGGATTCAAGAGCTCTGCTCAGAATGAGCCCAAATGGTCTAAAATTTAGAAAGGGACAGAGGAGAGAAAACGTTCCTCAAAAGGCCATTGAAATTCTAAGTGGTTGTTACTAAAATTTTGCCATTTTTTAAGGAATTGGGTGGAATTTATACCACAATGTTGTAGGACATACCCCACAATGAAGAGATCTGAGGGACAATCATTAGACTGACAATCTCCCATGATAATGAAAGGAACACCTGTTGGTACCAGGTACAATTTCCAGGGAGAGAACCAGGGGCTTTAACCACACTAAAAAATGGCAGAATAAAAAGACAGAGAAATAGAAGAAAAAAGACAAAAATAAAGAGAAAATAAAGTCAAGTCCTTACCATGCGACAATAGACAAACATTTGGAACACTGGGTTAGGAGGTATCACTTACCACTGTGGATCCCGATGTCCCCAGCCAGGAAAGGACACAGAGTGTAATAGAACAGCCTTAATGCTTGAGTGAAAAAAGCAGGGTCGGAGGGGTAGTCAATACTCCATCAGAGTCACGGCATCATTACTGTCAAAGAAAAAAATACAGTCTGGACGTGAGCATGAAAGATTTCATTAAGAGGATACTGCAGTGGGAGCAGGAGAGTATTAGAATAGAAAGATGCTCAAAGACTAAGCCAGAAATGTCTCAGGGGAGATGAGTGGACAAAGCCTTTAAATGCAGAGATAGCTGTAGAACGTAGGAGGGAGGGCGGCGGTGAAGCTGGTGGTGGGAGGGGGTTTTTGAAACGTAAGAAGCTCCCTCAAATATTCTGCTAACCAAAAAATCAAGACAGGAAATGGAAATGTTGGTTGTGGTTAAGCACACGGGCCAAGTCTGCACCTAAGATGGAACAAACAAGTTAAAGGACAGGAAGTTATCATAGAATTGAAGGCCCCTTGGTCTTAACGTTGTGTCAAGCTCAAAATTTGATTAGCCTTGTCAACACCTAAAATTGCCTTTGTGATTTCCAAGAGAGTCCCTGGAAAATCACCAAGATTTGTTCTTTCCCACTGTGAAAAGAGAAATATTAGAAATACTTAGGGCTATTTGATATGTTACCGATGATGAGTTACATTAAAAATACTGTCAAATCTGAAGAAACGCTTAAACTTTCCTAGGTTAAATTTGTGTGGGTAAAATGTTATTAACATTAATATTTAAACACTTATATTCTGTATGAGAAAGTTCCAGAGGACTGTCAATGTTTTTGCTGTCAATGATTTGTTTCTATTTACCCAAGTCCTTGTGTTGCTTTGCCTATAAGACAAAAGCAGCATAGTGTTATTGGTCATAGCTTCAATTACTTTTGAAAACATTAACTTGGTTGTAACTTCTTTAATTTGAATCTAATATATTGCAGGCCAGTAGTTTTCTATTTGGAATTCACAACACTTATCTGTGGAGTTTTTTGTTTGTTTGTTTGTTTTTTTAATATATTTTATTGATTTTTTACAGAGAGGAAGGGAGAGAGATAGAGAGTTAGAAACATCGATGAGAGAGACACATCGATCAGCTGCCTCCTGCACATCTCCTACTGGGGATGTGCCCGCAACCCAGGTACATGCCCTTGACCGGAATCGAACCTGGGACCTTTCAGTCCGCAGGCCGATGCTCTATCCACCGAGCCAAACCGGTTTTGGCTATCTGTGGAGTTTTATTAATCTATTGGTGTTTAAAGCCAATTCCAGATGTGCTGAATCTATTTACTTGATAAGCTTGGTAGTCTTTTCATATTTTAAGGATGTGCTAGTTATAGGTGGCATCCAATTTTTATATGTTATATCTGAAAATGTTTTCTCTGTGAAGATGATATCCTTCCATTTTCATAAGCTAGATATAATATCCACCTTTTTTTTGAAAATAGACTTAACTCTTTGTGTTTATAGATATTTTGTATAGCATTGTTTTGGGTTGACTTTGTTTTGCATGCCACAGAACAACCAGATATGCTTGTTAATTGCATTATTGTTGTAACAAACCCTCTTTAGATTATTCCCTTTTGAAAAATATCAATAATAAGGAAATAATCGCCATTTTTAGTCTTTTTACATCTATAGATAGTTTTGTTTGTGTGTTTTGTTTTACTCCTGATGTTTCCATGAAATCGAATGCAATGAGCTATAGGACAGAAATTCCATCTTCAATAAAGAAAGACCGTCTTAGAGCCTGGTGGAAAAGGACCATACTAGGGACTCTTGGGTACAGGCTTCTGATGGCATTGCTTAAGCAACTACAAAATCACACCGGTGGATCAAGTCAGGAGCTACAGACCTCTATTGGAAAGCAGGTGCATTCATTGGACTACTGACTCAAGTTCAAGTGGAAGAAAAAATAATTGCCTAGGACTGAATGGACTGAGTAAATTGGGTGAATAGGAACTTTGTTTGGAATAGCTGATGCATTAATGTTCTATTTTCTGGATATAAGGAACCGCTTTCTGTGAAGCTATCTATCACTCATAACAATTTAGTAGACGGTGCTCTTGTAAACAGAAATGATCAGCTACCTGCCTGAATGCTTTGTCTTCAGCCAAAAAGGACAGTCTCAGAGACCCATGGGGAAGAACTATGCCAGCTACTCTTGCACACAGACTCCTGATGGCATTGCTTAAATAACTTTGGTTATTGGTGGACTCAGTCAGGATTTCCAGAACCTTAGTTGAGAAGAAGATGGATTTATGAGACTGCTAATCCAAGTTCAAGTGAGGCAGGTTTGATGGCACAGGACTGAATGAACTGCTGATGGATGGATATGGGCTTTGTTTGGAATAGTGCTGATGCTCTAATGTTCTATTCTCTGGGTATAAGGACCACTTTCAAATAAGCTATCTATCACTCATAACAATTTAGTAGACTGTGCTCTTGTAAATAGCAATGAAACATTTATCTGCTCCACCCTGACTCACCTTTCCACAATTCTGAAACTCTTATCGAGTACTCTTATTTTCATGGCAATACAGTTATCTGCATAGATTCAATAAGAGTCCGTCCATCTTTTTAACAAGTGGACCATAATTGGGAACATTGGTTATGCAACCGAGCTTTTGCCTATAATGTCGTATTTGAGAATGATGCTCATTTAACCAGCTATGACCAAATGCTTCTAGGCACTAAGGTTGACTTGGTGGGGGCTCATGCTTACCGAGTCTCTCTCGGGAAGACTGGCCTGGTAACTGGCTTCATAGGGTTCCCAGCCTTACAGGTGAGTGAGGAAGGTCACTTCCTGGTGGGCTCAGGAATCTTAGGCTGCTTTGGGGGACCTCGGGAAGAGAGGAATGCCCATCAAATCACTGGGTGCTGCAGGTGAAAAGTGGGGGTGAATTCTTGGCTTGGCTTCCTACCCTCAAGAGGCTTTGAAAAGTCCAATCTGAGATTCTTTATGAAAACTCTCAGCAAAGCAAATCTAAAACCTATGTGGTAAATTGTCATTCTTGGTGCATCTATGCAAATAACCAGGCCACTGTAATGAGACCAGCCTTATTTTGTGATCAAGAATAACTTTTCTTTGAGATTGTGTTTGATCTTTTAAAAAATATTTTTTTTTCTTTATCTTTGAGATTGTGTTTGACCAGAATGGTAAGAGAGACTGTAGTGAGAAATTTTGTTTCAATAGGAAATAGTAGCTTACTCTCTGGATGTTCAGATTCTGATCTTCTTCATTGTCTTTGAGCTATGTTGCACCTTTTTGTAATTGCTTTCGACTGACTTTGTCTGATCTAGTAACCAAGCTTTCTCTTTCACTGTGGAAAAATCAGTTTGATATTGAACTGGATTCTTCCACCTTGCACAGACTGTCGATCCTTACCAGGTTTTCAGCTCTTCCAGACCCCTTCAATATCTGGCTACAATCTCACCTTCGCCTTCAAACTAAGATTTCCATTCTTTCTCCTTTCTTCTTGACTTGGAGTCACTGAGAACTAAAACCTGATTGCCAGATACTTATTGAGACTCTGAGGTTGCCTTGTAACTGGTGCTTCCCCCCTCGGACTGAAGACTCATTGCAAGTTCAAGCCTGAGGACTTGTTTAAGCCTATGACTAGGACTCATCATTTCAGCTGACCATTCATGGCACAGCTCTTTCCTTGGATAAACTGCTGTTTGGACTGCTGTGGAAGTCTGGTGAAATTCTCAGGTCACCCATGCCCTGGCTGGAGAGGTAACCAACACTTTGGACAACATCACCAAAGCAGTCAACATCATAACTTCGAAAGCCTCAGTGAAAGGTGAGAGATTAAATATACAAACAGGCAATGACAAGATTATATCTATATCTATATCTATATCTATATCTATATCTATATCTATATCTATATCGTGTCCCCAAATTTATGCAAGAAGTAATTTTGATAGAAAACACAGGTTTTATAATGAAAAATTGTAAATTTTTTATTGATTCATAAAGTATACAGTATAGGATTATATATGGAATAGCACATCAGGTAAATGGCCTCTACAGCTTTGCTGGCACATACGCAAAGCCCTGGTCTTCATTGTCCCTGCTCCTGGGCCATAATTGGTACTTGGTAATGCTTATTAAATTGAAGGGATTGAAATCAAAGGGCAACAGATATTAGAATCTGATTCAATAAACCAAGTAAAATTAGGCTTTTATTTTTTTTTGTTGTTGTTGTTAATGCTCACGCAAAATTCAAATCTTGCGTGAATTTTGGGACACCCTATACAAGTAAAACTCTGACACACTTCCTCCATAGCTACCAGTCTGAGTCCATCTACAAGATCAGCCCCAAATCAGGTCCTAGTAACTGCCAGCTTCCCTAACTTTTCCCCCTACTTTTAACTTAGGACTGACCATAGAAAGCCAAATATGTATTCCTAACAAATTATATTGGATGACCCACTTCTAGTTAGCCTGCTTCCAGCTTTTCATACCAACAGCCTCTAGGTAGGGCACACCTGAAACCTTCCCCCTTTCCCACTAGAGCAGGGGTAGGGAACCTTTTTTCTGCCAAGAGCCATTTAGATATTTACAACATCACTCGTGGGCTATACAAAATTATCAACTTAAAAATCAGCCTTTGCCCTGACCGGTTTGGCTCAGTGGATAGAGCGTCGGCCTGTGGACTCAAGGGTCCCAGGTTCGATTCTGGTCAAGGGCATGTACCTGGGTTGTGGGCACATCCCCAGTGGGGAGTGTGCAGGAGGCAGCTGATTGATGTTTCTCTCTCATCGATGTTTCTAACTCTCTATCCCTCTCCCTTCCTCTCTTTAAAAAATCAATAAAATATATTTAAAAAAGTCAGCCTGCTATATTTGGTCAAACATTTCAGTAACTCACCCCTAGTGCCTTGGCTGGGCCAAATCAAATGATTTTGTGGGCCTTATACAGTCCACAGGCCGATGTTCCCCACCCCTGCACTGGCGCTTCCCCACTACACTACACACATTTGAGTTTCTGCCAAACTCAAGTGATGGTGATGACTCTCTTCCTATAGCAAGCTCTGAGTAAATAGCATTTGCTTGTTTTCATTGAGGTGATCTTCATTTATTTCCATAGTTTCCTTGGAGGTTCCACTAAGATACAGTTTCCACTGGTCGTGAGCATGGACTCCAGTCTTCGTCCAAGTGTGGAAGCCCTTGTGCTTTGCTGCTCACCTCTTGTCGAGTCCACAACAATGTGGTAAGTCAGCACCAGGTCCACCCTCCACTCTCTTTGTGTGGAATTGGTTATTTAGTCTCATATCTGCACCCAGGTGTTATCGGTTCCCGTTTGTTTGACCTCCTTAGTGGAATCAAACAATTCTTTTCATTCCCTTTTGCTGCATTTGTGTTACCATTTCGTGGTGTGCTGTCTCAAGGTGTTATCTGTCATAAGAAGGACAATCACTGGATAGAACACAGGCATATGCCTTATCAGCCTGTTGTCCTGGCTGTCTGCAGACCAGTGACCCTGTAGTTATCAGAACTGTCCATTTGGACAAGCTGTGTTGTAGGTCACCAATAAAACTGGATGAGGTTCTCCCTCCGACTCCAGTTTTAGTCCTCAGAGCTTTATTTTTTCATTCAGAGAGAACATTCTTTCTGCCTGGGGGTGCAGATTGTTGGGTCTGTGTTTGGAGGCAACCAGTCATCAGTTTGGGGACCTGACATATGAGATGCACAGCATTTTCTTTGTACAAACTATTGCCAGCTCTCAGAGGCTCATCTAAACCCAAATCTCCTTTTCCAGGGAAATTGTTGCTCTTTATATTTACTCTCATTACAGTCCTAATTCCTTTATCTATCTTTCCCAATGACATGATTATGACTAGGCCTTCAGTGGGTATCCTAGGGAGCACTGGACTTAACAAATTGTTCATTTGAAAGGTTCCTTATAAAAGAAAGGGAATGAGACTTCTCAGTCCAAATGGGCAGCATTTTTTGATGGGTATTCAGAGGCTCCAAACAAAAATCTGAATAAAAAAATTGCTCCACTAAAAGAATATTTGGCCAAAGCTACACGCCACTTGACAAACTTATGTCACAGCAACAAAGTAGACTAATTTACCTAGTAAATCCTCCTCTAGTCCTCCAGTTGCTTCCCTACATCCTGCCCTTTTTTCTCTCTTACCCTTCAATTCTGATCTCTTTTCTTTCACATCTCTGTCAAGCATCCTCTCTTTCCCTTGTCCAGACTTTTTCCCTTTTCCCAACTATCCTAAAACCATCAATGCCAGTTGCCTCTAAAAATTCATCCTTACCATGTGCTAGGTGTGCAGGAAATGATAGAATTTTAACCTTGGACTCAAGCTGAATTAAAAGCTGTAAAGATTTCTTGAAACACAGATAAGACCAACAAATAGTCATAAAATAATTAAGAATTCTTTTGGGTGCATATGACCCATTGTTACTTGATCTGTACCAAATTGTACACATGTTGGTTGGTTGGAACCTCAGATGCTAGGTTCTGTGGGTAAAAGCTGGTTGGATTTACCCAGAAAGGGACCTACTGTATCCTTCCTTTCACAATAAACTTAAGAGTTAAAAAGTGGCTTTAAAAATAAGGCAAAGTATCCTAGAAGCCACATCTGAAACATTTTAATAAAAATCGATTGGACCATAATTAAATCATGTAAAAAAGCTTAAAGATGAAACTATAGGAGGTTTTAAGTATAGACTAGAAAGTATCTTCTGAAAACACCTGAGAGTTGAAGAAAATGCTGATATAACAGCAGCCCCTTCATCTCATTTTGTCAGTGGAGCTAAACCTGATATTGGTCATCTAATTCACAGAAAGAAATTATAATGGGAAATAACCCCTTTATCTGAACCCCCCCCCCAAAAAAAAAACCTGGCATACATTTTGAAATAGCTTTAGAATACAAATGAGATAAGATCCAAAATAAAGTCATGACCCTAAAGATCAAACAGCTGTGTAGACCACTTCCCAAACACCACTTATTGATAAGGACTCTTGCAGATATTGTAAAAAGGAAAATGGGGGGTGGAGGAGGGTCTAATTTTATCAAAGAAAAACCAAGACAAAAAAATGTCCTCAATCCTTGTCAGTGAGGGTGCTCTGAGGGAGAAAAATGCATCCAATATTCTGCCTTACTTTTAAAAACATAACATTCTTTGGCGAATCTCTTCTTTCATCCAGTCCCCCCTCTTCCTCCCCTCTGACAGCTGTCCGTCTGTTCCATGTCTCCAGGCCTCTGTTTCTGTTCTGTGTGTCAGTTTGCTTTGTTTTTTGGGTTGTTAATTTAAATCAACATTGGCGAGGAAACCTTAAAAACACAGCTGAGGCTACTTTCGGGTCATGTATCACCTGTCAGCAACTTAGTCCTTTTAAAACTGCAAAGGTGGGACAAAAAAAAAGGACCCAAGGCCTCAATGACACATTCAACAAGCTCAGATGGAATTCACCCAACCTCTATGGGATCTGAATATGTGTTGGTTATTGTGTATCGTCTTTCAGGGCAGGCGTAAGTATTTCCTTGCTGAAAAGCTACAAACCTTATGATCACTGAAAAGCTGCCTGATTTTGTGGTTTCCACTTGGGGCATCCCAACTTTTATACCAAGCGATTAGGAGTACACACTCCACAAGAATCTGTAAGACACTACTCTCTGCTCAGAAACTGTACTGTCCTTATTACAGTGCACGAATTCGTGCACCTTGAAAGGAACCATGGGCCGTGAGGCTGCTGTGGGCACAGGGGCTGGTCTCGGCCCTCCTCTGCACCCCCAACTGGCACCTCCCACTGTAGCCCCAGTTCCCTGTCTACCAGCAGCCCTGCTCCCACCACCGCCGCTCCCACACGCTGATAGCACCGAGCGATTGGGGCTGGTGCCAGCAATGGGTACGAGTGGGGCTGGTCCCGTTAGCAGGTGTGAGCAGGGACTGCTGCTCCGATCGCCCCTCAGGAGCAGGGGGAGGTTGAGAAGCCCTCAGGGGTGATCAGGACTGGCACTGGGAGCCGGCAGCAGGTGCAAGTGGCTGCTCTGGCGCCAGCTGTGGGTGCGAGTGGAGCTGGCGCCAGAAGCGGGTGCAACACCGTGTGAGACCACGGTGCACGGGAGCAAAGAATTTTCAGTAACCACCAGAGGCTCGCCCCAATGACAATGACTGGCGCCCTGCCTTGGTCTGGTGTCCCCGCTCACCTGCTCCACCATCCTGCCCCAGCCTACACCCACCATGTTCGGCACTCTGACACCTGCTGCCAATGCCCTCTATGTTCCACGTGTGCCCCCTGGTGGTCAATCGCATGTCGTAGCGATCGGTTGGTTGGTTTTTCTGCCGTTTGGTCTATTTGCATATTAGCCTTTTATTATATAGGACAATCTTCTGAAAAGATTGAAAAGACCAATGGCAATCCTTAAATACAAATTAGCAAAACTTTCAGAAACCCTGACCTCCCTTGGCCAAAGGTACTTTCACTAGCTTTTATAGTTTCTATGGCCACTCCCTTGGGGACACATTGGTTATTTATGAATTAGTAACTGGAGGGTCCACGCATTTGGGGATTTTACTCCAATATTAGACACTTGCCATACTGCATGGTGACATGGGAAAATATTGCAAGGGACTCTTGGACTATACCCAGTTCTTTCACTTATAGGTTTAGTGTATCTTTCCAACACATTTTCCTAAACCATCTGTTCATGATCTTCAAACAGGATATTTCGTTTATTGGAAGAGACATCATAGGAAAACTGCTGCTCTTGACTTCATTGGAAAGGACCTTATCAGGTACTGTAAACAACAAATACAACAGTGACATGCCAGACAGAGTCAATGCTTGGATTCATGTTTAACAGCTGAAGAAGTAATTTAGAATTCCACACAATTGGAAGGCTACTCCAACATGGGATTTCAAATTGAGGACACTCAGAGGTCTTGTAGACACAGCTGATCTTTGGAACAAGCAGATGACTGTAGAGCAGTGGTTCTCAACCTTGGCTGCATGTTAGAATCACCTGGGAATCTTTTTAAAATCCTGATTTCTGGGCCTCATCCTCTGGAAATTCTTTCTTTGTTATGGGGTGAGGCCACAACATTAGTAATAAAGAAACAGAATTTCCAGAATATGAGGCCCAGAAATCAGGATTTTTAAAAAATATATATATTTTATTGATTTTTTTGTTTGTTTGTTTTACAGAGGAAGGGAGAGGGATAGAGAGAAACATCGATGAGAGAGAAACATCCATCAGCTGCCTCCTGCACACTCCCCACTGGGAATGTGCCTGCAACCAAGGTACATGCCCTTGACTGGAATCGAACCTTCAGTCCACAGGCTGACGCTCTATCCACTGAGCTAAACCGGTCAGGGCTAGAAATCAGGATTTTAAAAAGATTCCCAGGTGATTATACTGTGCAGCCAAGGTTGAGAACCACTGCTTTAGACAATGGGCAGCTTCTGCCCAAGATGTTAGAGTAGGGCCTCTTTCTCTTCTTCTCATTTTCTATAGACCCTTGGTTGTTATCCACATACAGTAGTAATTTTTATCCTATTCCCCCCCTCCTTAAATAATTGTTAGTCAGAATATATTTATTTTAATGCCATTCTTAAATTATCTCTAATAGTAGCCACTGCCCTCAGTCTAACTGACTGCTGGATATGCCATGCATCACTGGACTCCATTATAAAACCCCTGGGCAATTCTAATCTCTTCTAATGAAACCACAAGGAGATATAGCTGATGGCATTTCTACTTGCACCAACATGGAAAGATGATATTAAACAAATCAACCGGTAAATTACTTGACCAGTATCCATCTCTCCAATTACTACAATCTACTGATCATACCCTATGTAATTCTAAGTTATATTTTCACAGCCATTTTAGGACAATGGGCCAAATACTTGCCATGTGGAAGAGACTAATAGAGATCCAAATATGTAGCCAAACTGATGCAAGGTCTTGGTTCTGACCTCATGTCATGATTACCTCCCGTTTCCCCAGATCTCTGCGTGTGCCTGCTGAGTACTACTTCCTTCGTGACCACAACACCCGGCTCTGTTTGCTTCGACTCTGCCAGATGTAAGTGGTGGTGGCTGACTCCCTGGCTATACATCAGGCTCTGAATAAATAGTCGTTGCTCGTGCTTATGCGGGTGGTCTTCATCTCTTTTATCGGCAGTGCTGCCTAATCAAAAGGTTTTCTTCCACGAACCTTTTGGAATCTACTAGACTTGTGCTCCATAGGGCGTGACTCAAACTCTTATACTAATATTTATCTTTTTCATTCCAGGAATCCTATGCAAGATGCCCAGACTTCAAAATTCTACCACAACTGAGCTGTGCTGTTCCCTTTCAACATATGATTTAACTTATTTTACAGAAACAACACCAACAAAAGTCCCAGAAAGACTATTAATCAGATCCTGCTTCTTCTTACTCAGGAGTTTTATACTCATCTCTTAGTTGTTTAGGAACCTATTGTGTTCATTAATATTGAACAAAAGGCTGACAATGTTGAACTTTACCTATGGTCTGTGTCACTAGAAAACAAGTGATGCTTAAGAAATGCTTAGGGCTGGGAAGGATGGGGGATGGGCAGGGGATGGGAGGGGCAGCCATCATATAATTTTTTCTTGATGTGATGAGAATGTTCTAAAATTGATTGTGGCGATGGTTTCAAATTTGTGAATATAATAAAAATCATTGTAAGATCTTTGTTAAGGCCTCAGAAGTATTGAAGGTGGTGCCTAGGAGACCCTCTCATGTAGACCAAAGGGCTTCTAATGATCCTTTGTATCCTCATAGGCAGCCAGAATTAGATGCAGGTTCAACTCAAAAATAATTATGGATGTGGCTTTGGGATACAGAGTGAACTGCTCATCAGATTCCTAGAAAATCCACAAAATTTTAAAGAGAATCACATTGGTGAAAATGCTGGCAGCTTGAATTCAAAGGGACAACGTTCAGAACGGGCTCTCAACTTCTTATGCTCAGGAAACTGGCTTCCAAAGAGCTAAACAGCTGCAAACATGGCTCATTTGTTTCCCGTAGTTTTTAACAGCTTGATTGAGATCGATTCATACACCACACAATTCACTCATTTAAACGCACGAGGACAAATAAAACATTATTAAAACGAATCTCGCATGTTCTCAAAATTTTGAATGTGGCTGCTAGAAAACTTACAATTTTCCTATTTGCTTTTATTGACAAAATAAAATCTCGAGTATATTTTTATTTCTTACACAAAATTACAAAGCCCGAACTTTGACCTGCCATGTGACCAAATGATCTTCATCCAGAAAAAATCTCCTTGATGGCTTTCTGACTTTTAAATTGTTAGCTGCCATTGACTCTTCTTGATGTGCTGGTCCCAGCCTAGGGTCTGCGAGGTCTGTTCACACATTCAAAGGGAGTTGAGGCTGTGGATGGGAAGCAGTGCCTTCCAGATACGGCACTTGAGACTGATTAGAAGCCTCTGCTTGACTGGCCTGTTTAATCAAGCCTGGCAGCCATTTATTGCTTGCTTGACTAAAACGTGCTGGATATTATTGCTTTAAAGAACCTTTCTCCATCAGCTCTTTCCAGACCTGAGCATTATCTCCAGGGCCATGCAAATTACCTGTGTGTGTGTGTGTGTGTATAGGCCAGGGCTGAAACGGGAGGGAGAGATGGGTGGGAAGAATAACGCTGAGAAATGTGAGCGCTCCGAAGAGGCCCACACCTGTTCATGGTGTCAGAGTATCACTCTCTTCAGGGAGCCTGAAGTTCAACCCTTGCAGAGCGGGGCTGTGGGCCTCGAGGGCATGTAGGAATGACAGAAGAAGCAGTCCTAAAAGGGCATGTGCCCACAATGTACTAGAATATAATTTTTAGAAATTTCCCCTTCCAAATGAACCCCACACTAAATGTCTGCATTTCCTCGCTTATCAAACATTTACCCAACACAAGACACAAGCTCATGGATTGAATGTAGATGGATGGAAAAGGGAGGAATGAAGGACGAAGGCTGGGTTTCTGGCTGGAGCAACCCCCTGTGGTGCTATTTTTGAGAAAGACTCAGATCTGAGGTCGAGGAGCTGGAAATGAAGAGGGCCGCTGTGTACAAGGACATTCGAAGAACCCTATGGTACATTCACGTGCGCAGGTGGTGTGGACTCCTGGTCCCCTCCCGAACACAATGTATCACTCTCTCCTGAGTGACACGCTGGCTTGGGTATTCTTTTACTCTTCCTAGATGACCCGACAGTGTAGCCAGCCTTGAGAACAGACCCCGCTGGTGCTGACTGTGGTGCTGCCGTGTGATCTGGAAGATGGTTGGACAAACAGGTTTTAGAGCAGCGGTTCTCAACCTGCGGGTCTCGACCCCTTTGGGGGTCGAACGACCCTTTCACAGGGGTTGCCTAAGACCATTGGAAAACGCATATATAATTACATATTGTTTTTGTGATTAATCACTATGCTTTAATTATGTTCAATATAACAATGAAAATACATCCTGCATATCAGATATTTACATTATGATTCATAACAGTAGCAACATTACAGTGATGAAGTAGCAACGAAAATAATTTTATGGTTGGGGATCACCACAACATGAGGAACTGTATTAAAGGGTCGCGGCATCAGGAAGGTTGAGAACCACTGCCTTAGAGGCAAAGAAGGGCCTTTCCATTTTGGTCATGTGAAGAGGACATGAACGGGGCTGAATGGAGATTCGGGAATCCTGAATTCTAGCCTCTGCTCTGCAACCTTGCAGAAGCGCCTTCCCATTCTAGCCTTAATTTGCTCACCTGTCAAAGGAAGAGATTGGACTAAATGAGCCATCCCTTCCAGTGGTTGGCAAACTGCAGCTTGCGAGCCACATGTGGCTCTTTGGCCCCTCGAGTGTGGCCACGAAGTTTCAATCGCACTGTACGTGCGCGCCTATGCGTGGTATTTTGTGGAAGAGCCACACTCAAGGGGCTGCAGTTTGCCGACCACTACCTTAGCCAACTGCTCCCTACATGTCTGGGATCCCCAGTCTTTGACAATATACTCTCAGTGGTACATGGATTTGAACCCCTGTGCTACCATTCCCCCACTGGATACATTACTCAACTTCTCTAGCGATTGATTTCCTTAGCTGGAAAAAGTATATGAAATGTACCTGTCGTCTGAGCCATTGTAAAGATTAAACAAATGAATACCTGTTACTTAGTTTGATGACTCTCACCTGAAAGCTGGTCAATAAACATAACTATGATTATTATGTTCCTTTATGTTCTTTTTTTTTAACTTGTTAACCCAGAGTTCCAGAGAAATCGAGAGAAGAACCCATAGAAAGAAGACATAGTTGATTTTATACGTTTGGCTAATTTCTCTATAGGTTCACATGGCCTTATTCCCCACCCCCCTGCTTGAACGAAAAGAGAGATTACAAAAACCTCCACAGTCAACAGAGCTAATTATCATTCATTTTCCACCCTCAGAATCTTTAGTGCAGTGTTTGAATAATGGCATCATCCCTGGGAGCTTTCCAAAGCATTTTCTGGATGAAATCTTTATTTACAAAAGGGGAAAATAAGTCTCCCGTAAGAACACACAACTTCATTTGGAAAGGACAACAGCGCTAATTGTTTTATTCACTTGTCACAATTTCACCATCCCCAAACTTGCCCGGAAACACATCTTTCTGTCAGGAAACCCTGCTGCCAGAGAGCTTGTTTACACAGTTTGCAAAGACGGAAACAGAAGATGAGCATTGATTGTGTTAAGCCCTGCGCTGTGCTTTGTCCACTAAATTTTAACAGCCAGGCAGCACTTCGATGCACAGACCCCGTTGAGCCCTTTAAACTCTATTTCAGTATATGTAATGGGTGCTGGGTGCGTGCACAGATACTTAGTTATTCCATACCTTTTCCTGTGTCTGAAATATTTCATAATGCCTTTAGCTTTGGCAACAGTATCTGCGTATGAAGTCAATCTTGCAAAGAACTCTGCTGCATCCTGGTGCTACATTCAGTCCCCTTTGCACCTTATTTTAGCTTTCCACCCATACAGGGTGTCCCAAAAAAGTATACACGCATTGATTAATTATAAAGGCAGTGTTCATTACAATACATTTCATTATCAAAATTGAGCTGTCAGCTATTAAAGTGTGTATACATTTTTGGGGGGTACCCTGCATTTATGTTGGGAGATATATGCTAAATTGTGTTGTATTTTTCAGTAAAATTTCCCATTATTCTTTAAAAAAAAAAATCCCAGTTGTTCAAGGAGGAGAAGAAAAGAGGGTTTTATTAAAATATTTTTCTCATAATTTAAAATTTCTTATTAACATATAAGAAACAAAAGTATTTTTATTTATAGGAATATAGAGTATCTATATATATAAAAGGCTAAGTGACCGACCCACTGTCTATAAAAGGCTATGTACTGACCGACCAGCCAGTACATATGACGTGCACTGGCAATTTAAAAATAAACGCTGACTCACGCATGCATGATATTTGTCCCCATCTGACACTTTAAATGAATTCAAAGACAGTTTCCTGTGATGCCAGCATTTGTGATGACTGTTAATAAATCACAAGGACAAACTCTAGACAGAGTAGGAATATTCCTACTTGAACCTGTTTTCGGACATGGTCAGTTACATGTTGCTTTCTCTCGAGTTCGAGGAGTGTGTGATGTTAAAGTTGTAAATACTTCATCACAAGGGAAATTAGTCAAGCACTCTGAAAGTGTTTTTACTCTTAATGTGGTGTACAGGGAGATATTAGAATAAGTTTAATCAATTTATCATTCATTGTTTTTATCAAAGTTGTTTTTTATCATGTTTTTGTTGTTTTTATATCATGTCTTTGTTGTTGTTATATCATGTTGTTATTGTTCATTTATTAATCAATTTATATATTTTTTCATATACATTTTACTAATTTTCTTTCATCTCTGACACTCCATTATAGAGAAAGGGCAAATAGCGATATTAAAATATTTCTTCTAATTACTTTCCTTTCAATGTGCACAAATCTGTGCGCCAGGCCACTGGTATAAAACATAAAAATCGACTATAGAAATATTTTTATTATTTATTTTTATTTTTTGTTAATCCTCACTGGATATTTTTCCATTGATTTTTAGAGAGTGTGGAAGGGAGGGAGAGAGACAGAGAGAAAACACTGATGTGAAAGAGACACATCGATTGGTTGCCTCCTACACAAGCCTGGACCAGGGTTGGGGATCGAGCTTGCAACTGAGGTATATATGTTCCCTTGACCAAATCAAACCCAGGACCCTTCAGCCTTTGGGCCAAAGCCCTAATCACTGAGCCAAACCTGCTAGGGCTATAGAAATATTTTTAAAAAGTCATGAGTAAATCTTTGGAACAATATCCCATGTGAAGCTTCCTGATTTCATAAGAAGAGCTAAAAAGAAAAGTTTCGGCTTTTTTTTCCTGTAATTTTTTTCCTTCTTGCATCCTTTGCTCCCTCATGCAAATGGATAATTGGCTTCTCTCTTCACTTCCTGCTCTCTGACCTCATCCCTTACTGCCCTCTCCAACCTGTTAGAATTGTCTTCAATTCTACTTTTCAATGGCTCTGTACAGGGGAATTGTAATCAGTCTATAGGTGGTGTGGACTGAAAGGCATTTTGTTTATTTATTTTATTATTATTATTTTAAATTGATTTCAGAGAGGAAGGTAGAGGGAGAGAGATAGAAACATCAATGATGAGAGAGAATCATTGATCGGCTGCCTCCTGCACACTTCCTACTGGGGATTGAACCTGAAACCCGGGCATGTGCCCTTGGCTGGAATCGAACCTGGGACTCTTCAGTCCACAGGCCGACACTCTGTCCACTGAACCACACCAGCCTGGGCTGAAAGGCATTTTAAATTAAAGATCTTCTATAGAGTGACCCCAGCATCACCCAGAGAGTTTGTGAAAGCAGACACTGGGGCCCATGCTCAGCGTTTCTGACCCAGCTGGTCGGTGGTGGGATCTGGTCACCTGCATTTCCAACAAGTTCCCAGGCGAGGCTGATGCAGCTGGGCCACACTCTGAGAGCCACTCATCAGTGAGTTAAGAGAGCAATGCTCTTCCACGCCTCCGCTGCTAATTTCTTTTTTTCTTAATCGAAGAAATGCTTACAGAGGACTTTCAATGTATCAGGCATTAAGTCATTTAATTATCATAGCACTGCTATGATGTGATGCTGTTCTTATTCCCATTCAACAGAGGAGGAAACCGAGAGAAGGAGATACAGTAACATGCTTAAGGTCACCAGGCCAGTAAGTGGCAGAGCTTGGGCTCAAACCCAGCAGGCAGCCTTCAGGTTTGGGCTTTTCACCCCTATGCTCCACTACCTTCCGGCTGAAATTTAATAGAATCAATAGGGTGCAATATGGAAACACAGGGAGGAACAGCTTTTTTAAACAGGGAAGATGTAGAAAAGAATTTGGGAACGTTGGAAGCATTTTCACTGGATCATGAAAGAAGAGTAGGATTCTGATGAAGCAAGATGACAGGAAGAATGTTTTAAAAATAATGCAATAAGACATGATGAAGGAAAGTGCATGAAGTATTCTTGGAATGGGAGTCTGGCTTGATTGAACCGCAGCTTGCCTAGAGATGTTACGTAAGAAATAAGACTAGAAAATATGGAGGGATGAGATTCAAAAGGCCTGGGGTGCTCGCTGAGGAGTTTAGATTTATTGTTTCCTATTGCAAGACAGAGGGGAGTCCTTGTGATGCTTTAAGCCTGAATGCAGCAATCCATGTGGGGAATGAATGGAGAGGATGATATTCATTAGAAAGCTGCCCAAGAATCCAGTTGAGGGATGGTGGGGCCTGGATTCAGGTCATAAGAGAGAGAATGGAGCAGAGAGTGGCTGGATTTGAGAATTGTTAAGGAAGATAAGAATCTAAAATTGTCAAACACTGATTCAATAGAAGCAGATGATACAGAAAGAAGCAAAGAGAAGTAAGACTTAAGCAGACAAACCATTATCGGACAGCTACCTGTGTCCCAGCCTGTGTAACAAGCACCAAAAAAACAAGGACCTGTAAAACACAGGTTCAATGCCTGCCCAGGGGGTGCCTCAGGCCTGCAGGGAAGACCAGGTGACAACAGCAGTAATCACTCCAGTTCAGAACACACTAGGAGCTTGCGTGAGCCAGAATGTCATTCTCCATGCTGAGGCTTGGTTGGACTAAGTATTGGATTCAGGAGAACTCTTTCCCATCAGGAACAATAAAATTAACCAGCCGTAGTCAGCACATCCCACAGAAGACAAACGCCTCTCTGCAACAATCCTTTCAGCCGGTAAATAGACCTGACATTTAAGCATCTATTGCTCCTTGTGCACTAATAAGTCCAACTCGAGGCCCAGAAATCATTAGAGGAATGAGAGCTTTTAATGAGCTCCAGGG